CCCCGCCCCCCCCCGAGTCGGCTTTCAGAAAATGTTATCTAGTAAATTTTAACATAGACCTGAGGACAACAGCATCTGTTTAGTGAGTTGTGTGACCCTGCAAGAAGTGCTAAGTAGAAGCAGCTCAATCAGCTCGATGTGCAAAGGTAAGATCAAAAAAAAAAAAAAAAAAAAAAAAAAAAAAATATTTTACAAAAGCAAAGAGGAAATAAACAAAATTAGCCAGTGGCCATTCAGAGCACCAGACCGCATTTCAATTTTTAATGTACAGTGTACTGTCAGGACATTCAGACAAATTCTTTTAGAGAAGCATACTAGGAAAAAAATTGAAGATTAACTAAAAAGTTACAGTTAGTTCCAAGTAAAAATGACTCTATATTAGAAAAAAGAATTACTTTGGGAGGGGATTAAAAACTTAGGTACTGAAGTCCCAAAGTCTTCTGTTTTCATTTAATATTGAGTCACTTAAAATTTTTACAGCCTGTGAAGAATACATTGTCTGCTTTGGATTAAGAGTCAACATTTACTGTTCAGGTAAAAAGAATGAAATTGCAGCAACTGTTGCAATTTTTTATTTTTTTTTAATTACTTAATCCCCCCCCCAAACACTTCTTTAAGAGGAAAATATAAATCCTATGTTATTGATTAGATCTCTAATTCCTGAAAGCATTAAGACAAGTTGCCACCTTTGCACGAATTTAAATATACTCTGAGCTATGATTCCTTTAAAGTAGCAGTGTAGCAACCTAAGATGAGAGGGTTTTTTTGTTGGTTTTTTTTTCCAAACAAATGATGAATATTTAAGTATGTTAGAGTGACTTGGAGTGTATGTTTCTGCTGAGGTAGTAATACTACTCCCTCGATCTCAGGCAAACTTAGCCAGCCAAAGGCTTTCTGTAAAGTAAATGGAGACACAAGATTCCTTTTGGAAGTACTTTCACTCCCACTAGTTATGCATGTATGTTAAATGCATAGCTGATCCATATCAAAACATAAGACACAGATATTCCCCTCATTAGTAATTGCCATAAATGTTTCCTTGCTCCTCTTCAAAGGACCTTCTAGATCTTTCAGGTTTTGTTGTTAAAAGCCACAATACTCCATTCGAAAATACTTTATGTGAAATACTTGTATTCTATTTATCCTTGCTTAACAACAAATATTTCTATGCTCTTTGGTGTATAAGTAGAAGGAAGTTTGCTGCTAAATAGTGCTTTACGTCAGTAAATTAATATACAGGATTGTAGCAGTAATTCTTTAAAATGGTTAAAATTTCAGGAATCAGAGAAAGAGAATTGTTTTGGCAATGTGTACACTGCTTAGGCAGACTACAAAAACCTTGCAAGTTAAGAGTGCAACTAAGCATTCAACACAATATTGTCAAAATAGTCCTCATCGGTTACAGCAATAACATGCAACAGCTTCATAAGAGTCAATCTGTTTGCAATGTACTCAGTGATGAGAACAAAACAGCAGAAGGCTGCTTTGCTCCCTGAGAAGGTTTGAGATCCAGTACCACTCTGTCACAGTATAATACAACCCAAAACATCTGCAGTCTCATGAGATTGTAACAGCTTAAGGGAAGTACGTTCTAGTTTTGCACCCGTTTCACTGGGTACTCGAGCTTTTGGCTGTCATCAGAACAACTCCCCACCCTCCCACCCCTCCAAGTACCACCACTTCTTCAAACATCCTGACAAGAGAGGAGCAGGGTAAATTAATTCTGGGCCAAACCAGAGCAAGCTAAACCTTTTACTTAAATACTTCATGAAAATGAAGCACTTCTGTGCTGTCTTCAGCACATCAGATCTACCAGTGTAATCATTCCATCCTTCAAGCAGTGAGCACCACAGTGTGGACAGTATCTGTTAAAACAGCCTAGGTCAATAATGAAGCAGTAAGAGATTGAGCACGTCTGAGTGTCAAGGCTGCTCCAGTTCTTCCAGAGAAGATGTACGCTAGAACAGTCTGCCTCAGGTTCCCTTCGCTACTCAAACCCTTGTAAGAATTTGAGAGTATGCTAATGGAACGAACTGGTATTTTAAAATTTCTTTTTCAGAAATGCATTTGTTTTATACTGCTAGGGTGCTCACTAAGTAAGAGACAAGTAAATATTAACTCCTACATCTAGAGAGTATTTTCAAAATATTGACAAGAAGGTATCAGACAAGATGAACTAACTTTTCTTCTTAAAAGCTACCAGCTGCATTTCTGTACGGCGTTACCTGGGGCCTAAAACACACTTACATGTCCCAGGAAACAGGGCCACACAATGTGTAATATCTAAGCTTAACGCAGTGTACATTAAGCAAAGGAAACAAGCTCTTTTAAATGTTTTTATTACAGAAAAACAAAAGGCTTACACTTGACTTAAAAAAGCAGCATTATTTCATGAATTCAAAGTTATTACAGTGAAGTTGCTTTAAGAAACCTTTAGAGACTGAAAAAAAAAAAAAAGCCACGTCCCCCCTCAGACAGCATTCTAGACTATTGCATGACCACAGCAAACCCCTTAGTTTCACATCACTTCTGACACCCAGTATAGAACTTGTATGCTTTTCTTCTCCCTCTGTCTTGTTGAATATAGCTGGGAGAACGATTTGGTGAAAATGGCAGTACAGTTCAAGTTAATTTTCAACAGTTCAGTACACATCTGATTGATACTACAGTTCAGAAGTGACTGAGACACAAGCTTTCCTCCTAACTCCAGCAGCTAAATGTTACAGTATTAACAGCGTGATGTTTCTTACACAGTATTTATCATATTCAGATTCGTATCTCAGAAGATTTCTCAGCAAGTTATTTGGCTACTACCGATTATAAACAAAAACAAAAAAGACCACAAAAAGTGAAGGCTCATAGTTGAAACAGTTCTTAGCAATGTAGCAGAACTCAGAATTATTATTTCTTTTTATTACACATCACAGAAGGAACAGCAGCGTTCCAGTGACCACTTCAGGTTTTTTAGTAAGTCAAAAGCTGCAGGTTTACAGCCTGAGCCAAAATTAAATATGTAATTGATCTTGAAATCTTAAAAAAAGAGACAAATAAAAAAACCATATTACTGCCTTAATAGTTCTACATTTTGACTATCAGCACGGAATCGTGCTAAACCCCAAAGGAATTTACAGGCATGTCATTAAGTGATTTTTTTTTTTAAACAACTCAAAAGCTCTACATCATGTTAAAAAACTTTCTAAACACATTTTTAAGCATCTCATTCTTAAAATATATGCTAAAACTACACCTCAGATTCTGCCAAAAAAATAAAATCAAAAAAGCAAGAAAACTCAAGCCATTATGTACAACTAGCTATAATGACAAAAAATTTAAAAAGGCAATTCACAGAAGGAAAAAAAGAGAAAACAAAAAGGGAAAAAACATATCAGAAACATACTACTCAGTATTCTATGAATTTTTTGCTCTCTCCTCCTGAAAGAAAAAAGGTTGGACTCAAAATCAGACATGGAATTTTTCTGAAAAAATGTCCTAATCTCCTTCGGTTTTGTTTATACTGTTTGAAAACAAAAACCTTTGAAGTCAGGCATCTAGTTACTGTACTCTGCACTGCAACACGAAGCCAGCTGTTACCAAGCTATTTGAACAGAAGAAACAAGATTCTTTCCTACAAGGAAAAAGGACGCCATACATTTTCCCTGCTTATGATTTATATCATCATCAGGTTTATTCAAACACAGGGTTTGTCCATTTAGCCTTACCCATGGTTTTTATTTAGAATTCCTCAATTTAGTGCTATAACACAGGAATCTCTTATGTGATCAAGCTGCCTTATAAGGAGGACATTATAATCTGTATTATACAGTAATATAGCCTTAAAAAAACAAACAAACAAACAAAACCCCCAGCATGAATACTAAGAGGAAGAGCAAGTTTTGTTTCTGTGGTACTCTCCATGACATCGACACCAAAAGCTGCTTTATAGCTTATCCTTGGAGATTTTATCACAAATTCGTCCTTTTCACAGTCACAGGTTTGTATTAAAAGTTACTTTTATGGTTAAACACGTAACAAAACAGCATTATACTGACCAATCCCTATGAATGTTAATATTATGCTCCATTAGCTCCCTCCTTCAGAGTAGGTAACAGTCTCAAACAAAAGTAACACCAACTGCCTCAACGATATACAACAATCTGAATTGTAAAACAAATTTACAGCATTCAAACAGCTTGTCATTAGAGAGTTATGCAAAAAAAAAAAAAAAGAGGGTGTTTATATTTACGTCTTCCTTTATGAATTTGTACTGTCGATTCAGAAAACTTAAAGATTGTTCACACTTAAGTTTGCGTGAGTGCTCATAGAAAAAAATTCAACAATCATGTTCTAAAAGGTTTATAATGTAGTTCTCAAATATTTTTAGCTGCTAAAGTGCTAATAAAGACTTAATTTAGCATATAACTCCCACATCCTATATCAAGTAAACATTCTTGACTGCCAATAATTATATTATTACATGGTAAAACAGTCCTCTAACTCCTAACAATTTACATTTAACTTGAGAAAATAGAAAAATTTGGTTTGGGGTTTTTTTTCCAAAATAACATGCAACAGGTAGAACATGTAAACTCCTGAAAAAGTCTAAGTTGTCTTTAGCTATCAGGCTCTGAAAGACTTTACAGATCTTTTAATCCTTCTTAGTTTTCAGCCTAAATTTTATATGAATGAGTGTTTAGCTGGGCTATATTAGTAATAATTCATCACATAAACTAAGGTCAAGTAACATTATCTCACTGTTCTGGAAATGAACAATTCAAAACTCTTAAAAAACCCAACTGTGTAGAACTGTACCTGCAAATTTTTTCAATTTAAATTTCTCTTTGTTAATCTATTAGAGACAATTAAGAGAGAACATCTATTTTTTTTTTCTGTCAATTTCTGAGAAAATTTGAATACATGCAAGTCAAAACTACCATAACGCAGACAAAAAGGTCCTCTTTCATGAAGATAATCAATAAATGACTACCTTCAATAAATAAGTCTATTTGGAAATTCTAGAGAATTCTTTTTCTAAACAAGTTAGTCTTTTTTCTTTTCCATTATGTCTTTCTGTTTAAGCTCTCCATCTGAAAGTTCTGTATATTTTCCATTCTTTTCCTCCTCTTGTTCTTCCTCACTGCCTTCATCCGTGAGCTCCCGATCACCATTTTCCTTTTTCACTGCCTCATGTTCATCTACCCCTCCATCTGTATCAGCTGTGCAGATTCCGTAACACATAATGCTGATGACCCCCAGGGGCAACCCAAAGAGAAAGCATCCCAGAAGCGGTGAACTCTTGAACACAGACTGTTGAAACACAAATTTGAAGTAAAGAACACTTTCAGTGAATATACAAAATTACTGCTTTACTACGTATTACTCAGTGTATTTATTCAGAAACATAAAAAATGACAGAGTCAGGTTTTTTGGTTGTTTTGGGGGGGGGGTTGTGGCTTTTATTTTTTTTTTTTCCCCTAGAAAGGAAGAATCCTCATTTTAACAATTCCTACTATAAGTTAATAAAAAACCCCTTAGAAGTTCAAATATTACAACGTTGCATTGGGATACTTGATGTTAACATGCCAACTGCATATCCTATTCATTGTTTGAAGCTTGAGAAACAATCCTTCTAGCTGTTAAAATAACCCTTTGAAGCAACCAGTTTCATCTCTTGTTTGTGTCTCATTCTCAAAAATTAGTTTGAGTAATATGGGATCTGCAGAAACATTCAGTTATTAGCTTCCTATGGAAGAGCAGTTTGACACAAGAGGAAGGACTTTTGGTTTCAGAAACTAATGGCTAAATGCTGCACATTCACAGAAGTTTGGAAGCCACTCATACAGAAACATGTGAGTTTCAATTTAAATTCACAGCACAGGTTTTTTTACTTGTGTAGGACAAGTGAAGAAATGGATTTGTGCACATCTTCCCAAAAAATTTCTGTTAAGTATAATTAACTCATAAGAAAGATGATAAAAATACTTGCTTTAAAACTGTACCAAGTGTAGTATTTTATCCCCTTATACTCTAACTAATTAGACTGAAACCACAACACTTCTCAGAATGTGAAAGTGCTATCAATTTCAGTGAAAGGATGTCAAAAGGATCAAGGAAAAGATTTTGAATTCTGCCTGTTCTATCTCTTAAAATACCTATCACACTAATACAGAAAAGGAGTGAAAAATGAAGAAACTAGCACATGCTGAATATTTAGCACACTGGAAAATACTATTAAAAACATTAATCAAGAAGTTAATTTGGCTTAAACCTAATGTCTATATACCTGTAATACATACACAATATATACAATATACACAAACTTATATAAAAATATTTCTGAACCTCCTGAAAATAACTGCTCTTGATTGACAGAGGCACCATCTAATTTAACAAAAAAATAAAACTTACCACTACAGTAGACTTGGCATCATAGATTATTCTCTTGATTCGTTGCAGAAGTCCATCACCACCCTGTGCCTGAAATTTCAAATGGAACCATGTCAAAACTGCTGACACTTTTCAGTTATGATTCCAAAAGTTCATTCTTCAGACCTTGCAATCTTAAGTCCCTTTAGAAGGAAATGAAAAGTAATTATTCTTGCATCTCCTGATGCCCAGACACTCCAACTTCTCAAGCATGGATAAACATTTCAATAGTCTCATGAAAAAGTCTCTCACAATTGTTTTAAACAATCACTGCAAACAGTGGATTGGCACTCCATTCTCTTACCATAGAGGAACACTAACAGAAACTACCAACTGTCCTGATGTAACAATTACAAAATTGCAGAGATCATCTGAATTTTCTTGCAGCTGATGGATATCTATTTATGGATTACGACAGAAGCAGTTAGAAAAATTTAAGAACTAAGTAACAAGAAGATACGAAGGTGCAATAAAGAAAACTTGTGTCAAGCAATAACAGACTATACCTACATTGTCACCTAATTTAGCAGTCTTCAAAATAACTACAGGAATCCAAAGGCAATTTGTCTGTTGAACAGGACCAGTTTTCACCTGTCTTGAGTTGCCAGAGAAACAAATGGGAAGAAAACCTACATTTTGGAAGTCAAGTGATCAGCACTTGACACTGGCCAAAACCCCTCAAATTACAAAATTCCACAAAGATGAAACACACTCACAGAAGGCTACCTAGAGGACCTTACAGAAAATAACATGAAAATCAAGGTGAATAATCCAACACTTCCCAAAGAAGGGAGCAGGATTATGTTATACTTCTCAGAAATTTCAATGTGGTTCAGAAAGTCTGCATCCTATTACTTGTTTACCAGCATACTTTGAAGATTGTCATTCCCTAACAGCTGCACAATTTCTTGGGCCTGAATATAGCCAAAGTAGTGCCATTTTATGTCTACAGACACCATTTAGCTTAAATGAAGTCACATCTTGTATTGTCTGTCTGTCTTGTATTAGCGCTCACATACATATACAGATGTGAATTTAGACAGACTTTTAATCGTACTAGCTGAAATATAGAAAACAAAAGGTAGAAAGACTTAAGAAGCACTACAGCAAAAACCGCAAGGCATCACAAAAAAATTTCCTCAAAGTGAAAAAACAGACAGAAATCGATTTGTTATTTCAAACAGAAGGATATATTTAAATAGAGTCAAATAGATTTTGATAACATAATTCAATGCAATTAAAAACATTATAAAAGTGAGAACTGAAGAACAAAACCCCATCAAGTTACAGGAATACCCCTCACCTTGCAATTGGAAGCATGGCCTGTAAAGGCATGAACAGCAAGCAAATCCACCTATATTATGTTGCTACATCAATTTGACAGATTAAATAAACCAAAGTACCCCATATGACTGAAACAATCTACAGCATTACTTGTCATTACCACCCAATGACCTAAACCTGCTGGCATAATGTAAAGTGGGATTCAGCTAACACATTCAATATACAGTGAATTGGGGCTTATACCCACATAGATTTCTCCCAGGAGGCAGTCAAATGATTTGTTAGCACTGCCCCCCTACATGGCAAAGCCTTCTTGCCCCGTAAGTGCAAGTGAAAGCTTTGATCCATGATCTCTTTCCTCATCCACGCAACATGGCTTTCTGTCCAACTTACAGTACAGAGGGAATAAACAAACCTGAATTTGCTTTGCCAACATTAAAAAAAATTGTCCCAGCCATCAATTCCAGATGGATTTATTACTGTTGTTGTTTTAACAAAAGACAGCTCATTTTTAGTTTCAGAACAGAGAAAGAGGGGTAAGCTTGTGTCTGTTTGTAATAAGCAAAGCAAGTATACCACTGTTTTTTGAATCTGAACATATCATTCATCAAGCTACTGGATTTATTAATTTACCGCCCAAAAGAAAGGGTCGAGTTGAATTATGCACAATGAAGAAAATATTAAACAAATGCATTTAAACCAGGAGATCAATAAAAAACTCTCCATTTACCAATGACACCAATAAAAGGAATATCAAGAGCAGACAGCTAACATTATGCTATAAAGAAAAAAAAGCTTGCTTTCTACAAGAGGTTGTGCAGTCAGAACAGTGAGCAATGGCACACCTCAAGAATTCACAATCACGTATTCACTGATAGCACCCAAGACAAGAAGACAGACAGGACAGCAAGATAAAACACATGGCATAACAATCAGAGTAACCTAATTTTTTCCCCTGCTTCAGCATCTAAGGAAATAAACACCAACCAACATAGTCCAAGTAACAATGAAGACTTACTTCAGCTGTACCGTCCAAGATATTGTTAATAAACTGAACCATATCTTCTGTGTTCTCAATGTGTCTATCTGGTAGAAAATACTGCTGATTGGAGGTATTCAATACAACAATAGTAGGGATCGTCAAGTCACTGGAAACACAAAACAGATAGTTTATATATTTAAAGAACTACTGTGTAAAGCACTGCAATTCAAATAATTCCTAGATCATTTAAAAGGGTAACCATTAATCTTCACTTCGTTTGTGTTCCTTATAGCAGTTCCTTAAAGGCAAGAGGGAAGAGGAAAAGAGAATCACCTAAGTGGTACGAGCATGTTTCTCATTAATATTTTCTCCTTTACATCTGTGTCAGTGACACTATTGAAGCTCAATACATTTTACATACCCATAGCAACTGCAAATCAAGTACCTTATGACTTGCCAAGTAGTAAAAGATCACATATAGTAGCCTTGTATATGAAATATATTATTAGCACAACACATTAACTGTTTTAGTACACAAAGGCAAAAGTAAAATCCAAAAATTCAATCTCATACAGTCATGGGATTAGCTCTATCAACCTCTACCTGTCAAGTCAAAAGAATAAGCCATACCAAAGTTTTTCTCCATCTCTTACAGATGGCAGATGAGCTACAGAGTTTTTAAACAATTATTACTCAGCAGTTGACCTTCACATGCATAAGCATTGTTTAGTATCACAGAATCAGAAAGAAAGAAAGAAAAAAAAAAAAAGGAAAGGTTAGAAATTATCTCTGGAGATAAACAGTATAATCTACTGTTCAAAGTAGCCCTAAATTCAAAATTATATCAGTTTTAAGAAAAATTATTACTGCACAAGTATATAGTTCAACATAAAAGGTTTAAAATACATTCAATCAGTAAGATGAAAAACCTCCTGTACTTTACTACAGTTTCTGTCAATAATGTATTTCAATATTAGGTGGCTTTCCTTCACAGCAGAAGCAATGCAAACCTTGTTTTTCTACATTTCCACTCTTAATAGTGCCCCGCCCATGTACATTTGTAATCCATGTAACATTGGTGGTGATTTCTGCTTTAACTGTGGCTATCAATCCATAATCAATCATTTAATGAAAATATTGTTTAGCATTTACTCAAGATTCCCATTTTTCTTTGAAGTCATAGAGTTTTCTAAATTTTCTCACATATTTTAGGTGTTTTGTTTGGTTTTTAAATTTAAATTCAATTCCAAACCTGGAAGCGAACAAGTTTAATACTTACACATGAAAATTGCCTAAACTATTAGAAAGCTGAATACCGTAAGACTTAAGGTGCAGACCATGTTCCTAGTACTCAAGTTGAAAGTATGGTGGCACCTCAGAAAATGTAAGGCCAACTACAGAGATAACAAAATAATTTCATGCTTTCAACAGAATTTAAAAAAAAACAAAAAAAAAAACCAAACAATAAAACTTTGTCAACAGTTTTTGACAACCTGCAACATAAGATTCTCTAAATACATTTTTTCCCTTGACATATTTATTCTCTATTTATTAGGAATAAACAAGAAATATAAGTAGGAGGCAGAGTCAGGTGTTTTTGCAAGCGCCTGGTTATCAACCTCTGTCAAAATACCTCATCCCAGCCAAAACAGAACAAGTTTTATTACTTGGAAGGAGAAAAGAACCCCCTCCCCCCAAAAAAGTGCTTCTATTGCACCTAAAAGTCTGGAAACTGAGGTTCTTGGAGTTCACTGTAGAGCAGCTGAAAGATAAACTCCATATACAAATTTTATATGCTATACAGAGATCCATAAACACACGTTTAATATGTTTCTTCCAAGAGCTGAGGAATTAATACTCTACATACACCTACACTTAACATTCTAATGATGCTATATACCTTAGCTTACACAAAGATGTATCTTTGCTTCCAGTAAAATACATAATATTCTGTTTTCTTCTTTTCTGCATGGTTTTAACTATACCCTCTTAAATCCAACAAAAGCATGTTCATCCACTACTGAAGAGACAGATAAATTATGTCTACTAGTGGAGTTACAGCCAATGTCATAAGTGTATTTCTATCAAGGACTGCTACTTTGCTCACGAATCATACAATATTTTGTCCTTTGTGAAGAAACAGAATTTGTTCCTATGTGGATCTAGCACAGTAAAAAAGTATTCTGCAATAGATTTCTCACTATCCAGAAGGCTTTTTTTATTGCCACTTGCTGTCATCTAGTGGAAAACTGAAGCACTTGCAATAGTTTTACTCGAATTATTCAAGTAGCCACATGAAGAGCAGCTATTTATAACACTGAACATATTTTGCTGCATTCTTTTGCTGCTTTTCACTTATGCTGTTTCTAAACTCTGTTTAGAAAATAACTGGAAGCCTGCGAGTACTTTAACAGCAACTTCCCATAACACTACAAATTATAAAACCAGACATTTTGCAGATTAAGTTAAACAATCCAGCTGAACAGATCTTGCTACTAGATCACTACCACTGTAGTGGCAGTTCTGCCTTCTTCCCCTTCATTTTCTTCCACGCAGGGACCTCATCTCCCTCCCCTGCTTCCTCGCACATCAGTTCTGGTACTCAGCAGAATACACAGGAAGACATTTAAGGGTTTTATTGGATCAGCAAAATAACTCCCCTATTCGCCTAGCCAGAAAGCAAACACTTTTCTGGCAGATAAACAGGCTGAAACAGCTCAGCAGACAGTCAGACATAAAAGCCTACACAGGAGAAGCAATTAATGAAGTGAGGAAGGTCTCACTTTTGGCAACTATAAAGCACTAGATCAATCACATCATTTAACTTCAATCGCGAGACAGCTGTTTTTAAATTAATTGTATTCAGGTGTTAATCTACAGACATTCCACAGAAATACAGACCTTGTGCCTTGTCCCCATGAAGCTCCTAGAACATTTAAGGGCATGGACACATGCATGTTTGTGCTTTGATCCTCAAGAAAGGTGTTTGGAAAACTTACAGAGCTGGCATATTGACCCGTTTCTCCTTTCTTTCACTCAAAAGGCCAGAGCAGAACAAGTCAACTGTAAATGCCAAGCAACTTAACTCTAATTACGCATTTTTAGACAAGGATCATAATAAGGGCAAATGTCAAGTATCCTGTTAAACTACTTATATATTTCAAAATGTACCATGTACATATCAAGTGCAGACAGCACCTTCCATGCATTTTATGTTTTTTTGCAGAAGCATATTTCTATGCATGTCTTAAAAATGCATCAAGAATGAAATGTGCCTCTCCAAAATAAAAAATATAGATAATACATAACCATTATCTACATTTCCTGTTACAAACTGACATAACTTTTGTCTAGCACTCTGTAAATTTAATGACAGAAAAAAAAAGAGTTCTAATAGAGTAATTAAATTAACAAAGTAGACCTAAAAGATAAGCTTTGTCAATCAGCATTATCAGTAAACCAATCTTTTAACATTAAATTACACTGTTTAATCCAACAAACAACTGATACTGATGAATTACATGATGAATTCTGAGGACAGCAATTTTTTTTTAACCTATGAAAGGCAGGAATTCTTCCTAAGATTGTTTTCAATTAAATATACTTAGCAACAATTAAAAAAGAAGAAAGAATATTCAAATAATAATTTACTTACTCCATTAGTAAACTATTAATGTAATCATTTCCATCCATATGGCCAAACTGGAAATCTCTGTAAGAGAAGCAGTGAAAAACAGAATGATGAAAAAGGGGGTTTCAGCAGAAATTCTTCCTTAAATATTTTTCCTATAACTGAAGGTGAGAGCACATAATCAGCAATATAGCTAAAAAATTGAATACCTACAAGACAGTCAGCATCTCAAACCACACTCAGTTAATGGAATGTTCTTATTAAATATCAGCATATGAATATAAAAGCAGGCACTGTAACATTTTTCATGTAGACAAAAATGACTGCTGTCTTAAAAAAGTTAACGCAAAAGTTCACTTAAGATATCATAGTACCATGTGTACCTACCTGTGAAAATGATCCCGATAATCTCTAGCAACTTCCTGAATAATAGATTTTAGTCTGAAGGGGAAAAAAAAAAGTGACATTGATAATCCAGTATATACTCATTCAAAATGCAAACAATAAACATTGAGATTTCCCCAGTAAGCAGCAAATAGTACCTCATCAGCAACAAGAGCTCCCTATTCCATTAACAAAAACCACTTTGTTCATCTTGGTTTCTAAGGGTTGAAAGGCTATCTACCACATAGTCTCAACATGAAAAAAACACAGACAGGCTGCTTCATTCCATCTATTGCCTTCTGAAGATGCAGCACCGTGACTCTGAAGAAAATTCAAAGAGGTCTGGGAAAACAGCATACACAGTACTTGAACAATGTTTTCTTAGTCTAATTATGTATGCAATCAGAAAGGGACAAGGTCTTGTTCCTTTCAGTCTCTTCAGCAAACTCCAACCCAACTGAAAACACCCCTTAATATAAGTTCCACAGACAACTAAGATATAAGCATCACTAAATTCATTTTTAATGCAACTGAGCTGAGAAACAGTAAACTTGTTAAACTTGTTTAAACTGACTAAGTTTCTCTCAAGGTAATCTGAAGTCAAGTACTCTCATCTATGTTTAAAAGGTGACACAATAGCTTTAAAAAGCTATGCCATCACTGTTTGCTCCTGTGATCTTATTTAACGAATGGCAGAAGAGTGATAGAGGAACTCCCACCATCTCATTGAAGCACATGTGCATTCAACAGTCATAAATTAAATTAATTCAGTAGGCTGAAGTCAGAAATTAGAGAACATTCACATGTTAAAACCATTCATTTAACCTAGCATTTCTTAATATTTAAGAAACTTGCAAAGTTCTCTATACCATACCAGCACATTTCTCCCATAGTGTCACCAATATTCAATTCCGTACCTGATATGTTCCACTGAAGAGTTTTTATCATCAATGACTGCAATAGCCACAAGTTTTCCTAAAATAAGGAATAAAATACTTGAAACCATTTAAAAAGAAACAAGCATTCTCAGATGGAAAATACTCGAACCTAGAAGATCAGATACTCTCCAGGGACAGGAATTAGTTTTAAGTATAAAACAGCCTTGATGCCAAATAGCCTCTTCTAGCTGACCAAATTGTGTTTTTCTTAAAGCTAGTGAAAATAAATCAAGACATGCCTTAATGCCACACCACTAGCATTCTATGAAAAGCTTATTCGTAGAAAGAAGTTAAAAGGGAAACACACAGATTAAAAATTAATTCCCTACTCAAGCTGCATATTCGCATATACCTAAATATAACACTATGGAAATCTTTATTATATAATAGCAGTTACAAGCTGATTCTAAGTGATTGAATCACAATTGTATGGATTCTGTAACAGCTATTTTTCACACTATTTAAAATTTGTAGTATTGTCCTTATGGAAAAAAAAACATGGAAAATTTACTGGCAGAGCTCAGAATTCACTACAAAAGAAAAACAACTTAGTTCACAGACCTGGCAGAGGAGCTTAAAGACCAAACACCAGAATATACTGATCTTTTCAGGATTCACTTTGTGAACCTTTTCTGATTAAAAAAAAAAAAAAAAAAAAAAAACAAAAGAAGAAAAAAAGAACACCCAACAAACAAACAAAACAATAAAGCCTCCTAAGGTGAACCAGATCAAAATATGTTTAGAAAGCTGGCCAAATGTTCTCCAGATCAAGCATTTCCTGTTAGGAAAGCAGATCTGTTAACAGGGTAATCATCAGTTGGATTAACTAAAGCCTCTAGAGTGCAGAAGAACAGTTTATTAAGCCTCTCTAGATGCCACGATTGACTCAAAACCGTTCCCACCAAGCAGATCTATTGCTCAATGCCTACCTATCACCACGCCACAGGAAGTGTTCCCCTCAACAAAAGAAACTCACTCTTGTTCAAGTGATACTGAAGACTTTTGAGGGCAGGAACAATGATTCATTCCCAGGCTTTCTTGTGAAATAGCAATAGCTTCCTGCCGCCTCAATTCCATATCTCAATTCTCACGTTTCTGCATTTCTTTCCACACCCTAAAAGGCCACCTAGTGAATACACTAGGAGACAACTACTGTTTAGATCGTAAAAGAAGATGTAGATAAATTCCAGGTACTATGTATTTATACATAAAGCTCTTAAAAATAAATTATGGGTTCTGCATTATTTTAATAGACTTTTTTTTTGGGAGGGGGGTAATTGGAGGAATTGTTAGACAAAAATGTAACAGGAAGAAATATGGTACATTTAAACAATTTTTAACAGCACTTCTGTAAATAACCTTTTAAAATGTAAGCATAACGATATTAGTGTCGCATAATCTTTAAAATCTGAAAGAATTCAGTGTTGCATTGAATATAAACTTACTTCTTTCAAAATGGAATATAGATTATAAGGTATCCTGACCTGGAAAAATTAACACTTAGCGCATTTCTTCCACTACTTCAAAGTATGTATACCTTAAAAGCAGTACAAGTCATTTGCCTATTCCAGAAATCACTTGGCTGCAGTGTCTTCATTTGGCTTGCAAAAAATTTTACTAGAGAAAAGCTAAAGTATTCCAGGACAGGTTCACTTTGTTACATGCTCTCCTGCCTTCCTTACCATATCTCCTTTAAAAATATCTGAATCCATCAGAAGCAAGACATATCTAAACCTAATCAAATCTAAATTTGATACTTCTAAATCCAGTCATAAAATTTCCTGTAGGTATTCCAAGAGTTAATATGTAATTTATCCAAAACTTAAGATGCTCTTAAATTAAAAGTCCTGCTAATTTTTTGTGAATACTACAGGATTAGACATACTAATTTTTATGTTGTGAGGGAAGGGATAGTGTAGGCTTTGGATGAAGCCTCTAGTCAATAGAAAAGGTCTCACCAACATCAAAAACAGATTGGCACTATCAACGCTAACTCTAAGATTAATTTCTGAGGTTTAAAAAACCACATTCTCACTACTCTCTAATTTTTCTTAGTGTGAAGTACAAGAGATGCCAAAGATTTTAGCGGTAGCAGCATCTCACCTGTATCTCCAAGTTCATACAGTGTAAAGCCATCTACATTAAGATAACCTTGAAATCTTTCTCTGTTTATCCAGGATGACAAATCACCATCTTCATACTCTAAAAAAAAAAAAAAAAAAAAAGCATTAAAAATGTTGTGGGTTTTTAGGGGTTTTTTTTTTTGTAAGGTGGGCAGTTTTATTTATTTCAGCCCTATGTAGGCAAATGCTATTTTTTCCCCTTCTTTTCCTTTTATTGTTGTTAGACAAGATCTCACACATTTCTGGACATACCCCTTCAGTTTGCAAACTTCTAAAGCTATTCTCAATTGATGAACAAAAAGGAAGTATATTATAGCAAAGCATGAAAAGCTGATTTGATGATTATTTTTTTCACAAATCAAGGATAAACAATGCTATTCTAGAAGATAACTGCGACCCAGTGCAGAAAGGAACAGTTTCAATCCCTATTCTGAAAGGCGGTGGGGTGGGGTATCAAGTTTCAAAGTAAAGAGAGACAAAAACACAGAAAGCAGTATTTGTGAGAGTCTTTAAATGAAACAGAAATCACGAAAAAGTAGATACAGTAACAGCATTGTGAATATAAATGAACAAATATTTACATATGATTCAGAATCAGTTATACTGAAGGCTACAGTTCAAGATGTTAGATGTTTTAACCCATAAAGAATCAAATTCTAACACCACCCACACCATTATAACTGGATCTTAATCACAAGTAAAAAAGAAAAATGTATATGAACATATATATGATGCATATACACACACACATATAAATGCACATTAAACAAACTTGTGTTAAATCCTATTATATAGAGTGAATTATCAATAACTTCACGTTAACAATTAATCGTCATAAGACTGCAAGCAATTCCAAGCATAAAGCTTCCCATAGATCTGCATCCCACTCCCATACTATGGGGAAGAAAAAAACCCAACAAATCAAAACACCAGAGCACTGAAATGGATCTTGCTAAACATTTTTCTTATAGTGAGCTCTTCAAATTTCTGCCCAATCAGAATTTGCACATATAACCTTATCCAGTCTCTTACATCGTCTCTTCATAACTTGTTTGATTTACAATAATGTTTCTAGTACATTATAAAAGTAAAATTTTACAAAGTAAATTAGAAGCCTGGATTATTAAGGGTTTTATGTGCAATTTGAAAGGTGTGGAAAAAGCAAGTGGGCCACACAGCAAAAAAGCAATTCAGAAGTGTTTCTCTCTGACAAGCTTTACTTCTCCAGGCCCATTTAAAAAAAAAAAAAAAATCAAATGCAAATCGAGGAGATTGTAGAGTGAATTTTTATCTGGAGGATGACTGGTAAGGCAACAGACTGAAGAGGAAGACAAGTACCATTCTATGAAATCACAAAGAATATTTTGCTGTGCAACTAGTGATCCTCAGAAATTCAACCAGCAGAATAATCTTCTGAGGGATATGTTTTCAACTTAAAAGTAAAAACTTGTATTTAAAACAATCTAAATCAAGAGTACATGTCTTCGTAAATAAATGGTATACCTATAAGCCAACCCTTGATATGCAATATAAGTACATGTGTGTACGTGCATCTAACTGACTGAAAAGCATGGGCTTTACAGTGTAGTGTGAGTAAAATCTAGCTCTTATATATGGATATCCATACATATGGATATACACATTATATAAATGGCAGGTGTACGGCTCTCAGTGGTGTTATGAAACACTACTAGTCTCAGGTGGCCATTCTACAGTCTACACACTGAACAAGCCAAAGTAGTTTATACAGTCTGTATTGCCTCAGCACAAAAAGCTCAAACTGGACCCTTTTACACAATCTCTGAGCAGAGTACACACCTGAAAAAAATCAAGTTAACTTCAAGAGAGAGAGATCTGACTGTCAGGAAGAGCACTTAAAGAAAATCAGATTAACTGTTTGGAACTGTAAATTCACCTTATGTGTGACTCCTCTTCAGCAAGTTTAGTTCTATTTTGTAGATGATGAATTTGGACAGTGAGTGGAGGGATAACTTTAAGTGTATTAATGCCAGCAAAGCAATAATATTAGAAGCTACATCTTACTGATAATGCAAAGCAAACATCATCACTTCTACTTCTGTATTGCTAAAACCAATTCCTTCACAAATGTGTTTGGTTCCTTAAGAACTAATTAGTTTTTTCTCTTCTCCTTCATGCAGCAGCTGGTATTTATCATAAAATCAGGGAATTTCACAGCACCTCAACACAACCTTCAAAAAAAAATCCCAGCTGTTTCAGTTTCTCCATATATACTTTAAATGTCTTAAGTTAATGCCCACTTTTACTTACCATCATAAACAAAGTAAGTTCCATCTTTGAAGACCACAACAGCAGGTAATTCAGGCAACGTCACATACTAAAAGACATGGTTTACAATTAATCCATTAAAAAATTTTTAAACAAACAACCAACATCTTAGAATGTGGAAATGTGGTCCATGGGGAACATCTCAAAGTATATTTAAATGTTTTCTGTCTACATTTACTAAAATAAATGTATCAGCTTCCGCATATTAAAAAGTAACACAACATAAATATATTTTTGAGAGGTAGGTATCACAAAGTGTAAATGAAGCAGGATTTTTCTAGTATCTGCAGTAGCATGAAGAGTATTTTACTGGTTGGACATGAACTTTAGATAGGAGATCATAACTTGAGGGTTTTATCATCATGATCTCTGTTCCCAAATTGTGCTGTTGTCAGCATACCTGTTGTACTGTTACTTCTACTAAATGGATAGTCAATATGGCAGAGTAAAATAGTATCATTGATACCATATCCCACTAAATCTGGGCTATTTCCTGTGGTTCAGGCTGATGGGAATATAAAGACACAGTTTCAGCAGACAGGGCTGCAAATAGCCCTAATTTAGGCAAACAGAACAATGAATACCCACATTACCATCCCAAACATAATATTTAGGATGGTCAGCAACAAACTCAAAAAATACATGGTGTAGAAACCTTTCCCTTGGAACTTAAAAGCATCTTATTCAGCTCATGTTTTCAGTAAACCGCTACAGGAGAAATACTGCATCCAGTCCTTACTACTTGCTACTATTCTAAATTAAAATTCTAATAGCATTTGTGGTTAAGAAAGGACTGTGTCATGAGCTTAGTTTTGATGATGTTGGCTTAATTGTCTAATTTATTGATATGTTTAGGAAACATAAGAACAGTGCCATAAGTGCTTTTCCAAATGACATGCCTACTGTAATCATTCTGCATTATCTTTCTTGGAAACAAATGTACAAGCAGTAGGTTTATCATGTAACAGCTCACATGAATGAGCAAGAAGGTGGCAATTCTAGATGATGCTTTATTCTCTTATTTGCCCGAAACACAGTCCAGCATCTTTAAAGGGCAAATCAGTCTATGTACAGCTTATGGCTTGCAAAAGATGCCTGGAGCTTGGAACAAGATTATGTAAGGCAACAAAACAAAGCCTAACAGCAAAGACTGTCATGCAAAGACTCATTGCAACTAGTGATTTCATAACATTTTTGCTTCTCTCCATAGAATACTGCATACCAACACTACTTCAGTTTAAATGACATTTGTGGGAGATTACATTTGGTGGGAAAAATAGCTCACTGCTTACATCACTGTGATCACCGAATCAGAGTTCCAGCCTTTTACACTCTTTACACTGCATGAGT